GAGCCCTCTTACAGTCCCAGTTATTAGGGACCCCAAGTATATGGTCTCCAAACAGCAGCACCTCAGCTTACTCCTCTAGGTTCTTGTTATATATGACCCAGTTCCCAAGTTTTCTCACTTCTAGACCAGATTCTTTTTTTGTTGCATGAATATATTCCAAGTTATCTTCTTAACCTGGGCCATAAAAAAATGCTTACAGATGTTTAAATAATAGATGACTAGATTATGCACCTTTCTCATCCTCTTTGTAACCCAGCACCAAAATTAAGCTAAAGATGAACCCCTATAATAATTCTGAGATGTAGGAATAATAACCTGGGAAAAGTGAGGGAAGAGCTTCCTTTCTCTTTTTTGGGTGGAGGCAAAATGTGCTCCACCTCCTTCTCTGCACCTGCTTTGCACCAGGACCTCTTCCTCATGCCCCCAGAGCCCTCCTCCTTCCCCAAGAACTCTCTCCACATCCATGGGGTTCTCTAGGCCTTTTCCCCATAGTGACGTTCCTCTCCTCTTAGTCACGCCTCTCATTCCCTCAGGGCCCTTGAACTCAGAAGACAGGAAGATAGGCAATGAATGAATTCATCCTAGTTGGTGAGTGACTGACGGCTCCTCTTACTCCTGGAGGTGCTAATAAGAGGACCTTACTACCTGGATGCAACTCTGCTAGGAATCTCAGTTGCTGTGCCAAAGGTGAAAATAAGCATTCGAAAATGCCAGGTTGTGAACTGGGGGAGAGGGCACCATACCAGCTAGTCCATTCCCCTGGTGGATATCTGGCATCTGGCTAGCCTCTCAAGTGCTTCCTGATTGACAACTTTTTCCACATCTCTGCTTCTTTCTTTCTTTCTTTATTCCACAAAGAAGATTTTTATTTGACACCATTAAAAGTCTGAATTTCCAACAGGTCTTGAATTGGTGGCTCGTATCTATCAGCTCATTCAGCTTTAGCACCTGTCTCATCCCCAGTAACTTTTCCAGAACTATCTTCACCATGAAGCTCCCTGAGTTTTCCTAATTCAAAAGTGGGCTTTTTCAGCATTTTCACTTTTCTAACAAAGATATCATGATGTGGATGAATAGATCAGAAAGCCTTTTCTACATCTTTTCCAATGCTGTCTGGAATCAGTTTATTGACCAACTTTTTTCAAGTCATTTGTCTGCACTTTTTGGGTCGTGACTTCCACCATCATGTTCAGAATTTGGTGGAGGTGTGGAGCATAACAGCTCTTCCGAATCTGATTGTTGTGCTTTTTAGTAAAACCGACATAGAATAGATGAAACAAATAACCATCAGTGGTCTTGACAACAACATGAATTCCAATCATGGTCTGCCATTTTTGACCATGGAGCACAATTTGTCATGGAAATTAGGCAATTTTGCCCTGAACATCCTCAGTAATTAGCTTGAATTTTCTAAATGCATCTTCATCATTTTGCTGGTCAGCAAGATTAACTTTAAAAACACTACCCTTGAGTCCATCAGATGCAAATTGGGTTCTTTGAGGTCTTGTGGCTAGTGTTTCTTCAATATTTCTTATATTGAACGTGGCTGGTGGTTTCATGTCTTACCAACCTTTCTTAGAAAAAAGATCAACCAATTTCTTCTTGGCTCTCCTTTTGCTGCCTTTCGTAAGGTGCTTGTTCTTGCCCACCGCTATGAAAATTGCCTTTTTTTTAAAACTGAATATATTTAACATACAACGTTATATAAATTTAAGGTGTACAATGTGTTAATTTGATACATTTATAGTTTGTAATATGATTGCCATTGTTGTAATATTTGGCACCTCTATGACATTACATAAGTATCCTTTCTTTTTAGTGGTTGGGATAATTTTTAGTCTCAGCAAGTTTGTAGTACAGTATTGTCTGTATTCATTACATTGACTTTATTGTACAGACTCACTGTACAGCGTTTTAGATCTCTATGACTTAGTTGCTACCGATTATAACTTTGTTCCCTTGAACAACATCAATCATTTATCCTCCCACTCCCCATCCTCTGGTAACCACCATTTCCTGTTATTTACATATTTGACTTTTTTAGACTGTATATGTAAGTGATATACAGTATTTGTCCTTCTCTGTCTGACTTCTCTCACCTAGCATAATGTGCTCAAGTTCTATCCATGTTGTCACAAATGGCAGGATATCCTCCTTTTTCACGGCTGAACCATATTCTATTGTGTGTATATATCACACTTTTTTATCCATTCATTCATTGATGGGCATTTTAGATTGTTTCCATATCTTGGCTATTGTGAATAATGCTGTGATAAACATGGTAGTATATATACCTCTTTGAAATCCTGTTTTTCCTTTTGTTAAATCCCCAGAAGAGGAATTGCTAGATTGTATGAAATTTCTATTTTTAATTTTTTTGAGGAGAATTCATATTGTTTTCCATAGTGGTTGGACCAATTTACATCCCACCTGTATACAGGTTCCCTTCTGACCACATCCTTGTCAGGACCTGTTGACTCTTGTCTTCTTGAGATTACCTCACACCTTTAGAATGGTTACCTTGTTATGGCTTGGATCTGCAGTTCCCTGATGCTTAGTGATGGTGAGCATCTTTTCATGTGCGTGTTAGTTCTTCTATCCATTTTTAAATAAAAAAATTTTTTGTTATTGTAAGAGTTCTTCATGTATTTTGGACAACCCTTTATCCAATATGTGGTTTGCAAGATTTTCTCTCTTTCTGCATGTTGTCTTTTCATTTTGTTTCTTTTGCTGTGCAGAAGCTTTTGAGTTTGATGTGGTCCCATTTGTTGATTTTTGCTTTTCTCGTTTGAGCTTTTGGTTTCATATCCAAAAAAATCACTGCTGAGAGCAATGTTGAAGAGCTTCCTCCCGACGTTTTCTTCTAGGTGTACTTTCCTACTTCTTCAGCAAGAAGCTTCCTGAAAGTTGTAGGTTTTCTACACCAGCTTCCAAGATACTGAGGAGGGACAACTAGGAATAAGACAAGATAGTGTACCCAGTTGTGTATTGATAAATGTGTGACAGTCAGCTCTCTGGAGTCCTGATTTGTAGTGTTTGCAAATGTCTGTGGTGTAAGTACTCCTGCTACTGTGCATTTCAAACTATCACCAGTTTAACAACCAGCTCGCAAAATTCCTAAAAACTTAATGGTTGGCTCTCTTGAGCTGGTATGTGCCGGCTTCTGCACACCACTGGATCTACCAGTTCTATTTACTGATTGTTGGGAGGACAATGTAATACACGAATGTAATCTTACTAAGGGATGGAATTATGTTCTAGATCTCCTGTAGCCCTGTGGCAGAAGGATGGTTATAGACACAAAATTTTGATTAACTAAAGGAATCTTCCTCTGGATATACTGCCTTCTCAAAGTAACTGCACAGCTAATAGCAGGGAGACAGGGGCTTGTGGGGAAGGAGGCTGCTGCTGCTTTTCACCAAGAGAGGTAATTTAGAGAAGAATATAGGAGCCATAGGATAGTTTTGATGAGGAAACCAGGCTCACTAAAAGTCAGATGAAGATACTGTAAGAATTCAGCTCAGATTTCCATCCCAGATCTGATCAATACACTTACCTCTTAGAAATTAGTGTATTTCAAATATAGGATCTGATATGTACTTCAGGGATTAGAATGAAATGACTCAAAAGAGGTTCTGTAGCCTTCATCACAGACTATCTAGGTGCCAAGGACTCTGGAGAGAGGGTATTAAGAGAGCTGTAAAGGCATAACCTAACTGCACCACAGCGTAGGTGGAGCGCCGAGCGGGTCAGGGAGCTCCTGGAGGCCCTAGGGGCTCAGGAAATAACCTTCCAGTGAGATTCAGAAAGTGAGGAAAAGGGGGAAGATTGAGAGATGACTACCACCAATTTAACAAATTTACTTCTTTCTGATATTTTTGGAACTGGGATGTATTTGTGGATGTGGAATCACAGGTTGAAAACAGCCTGTGCGAAAAATATGGCCTGCAAGTCCTAGGCAGCCTCTGTATCAGGATCCCCCAGGTTAGATTGTGTCAGCAGAGGAACAGCTGGGAGACAGGCCTGAGTTCTGTCTACTTATTGAACACCTTGATGGGGAAGAGATCAAATGTCCTGAGTTATGAAGGAACATACACCTCCAGGCTTTACATGTGAGAAGGTGTTCCAAAATCCTCCATATTTCATGTTCATGCATTTGCCATTGTATTTTTTGACTATTAAAATCATGATAGAACTGGTAAGAGCATTTATCCTGTATTTGTGATTACGGATATTTCCAGGTATTATGGAATAGAATATATTGCTGCCCAGCAGTATTCTTTGAAAGGAACTCTTAGAGAATTTATAAAAATCTGCCTGGATGTTTGCCTTATAAGTGGAAAGCAAGAACGGCTGGTGCACAAATCAGGGAAGCTTTTGCACTGTACATATAGCAATAGTACTGATGCCACCATGAAGCATATGTTGTGAGCAGCTTTTTTTGTTGTTGGAGGGCTTGTATATCTATACTGTTGCCCTTGGTACTTAGGTGTTCATCCGTCCATCCAGCAAACATATATCAGATTATCTACTGCACATGAGGTACTTTGTTAAATACTGGGGATACTGACTGTGAAGATATGGTCCTTTATTCTTACTTAGCTTAGATTCCACTAGGGGGAGCCAAATGTATAAATAATAACTGTTGAAGGTACTGGGATCAGTCTAGTGGTGGGTGGGGTATCAGAAAGAACTGGACAAATCTGCCTCAAGATTGGTCAGGAAAAGTCCTCATAGGGAAGGTGCCTCTGAGCACGGGTTCTCTCTGAGGCTCCTTATCCAGAATAATGAGGGCAGGTGGACCTACTGAGCTTTTGTGTGAAGCTAATTGGAGGGCCCAAGATGAGCCTCTTGCCTGGGTCTTCAGATTCTCACACATGTTCAATCTCACCGACCTGGTCTGGGGTAAAAAGATCCCCCTGCGAGTTCAATGTGGATACCTCAGAGAGCAACGTACACATCGAAGCCTGCACCAGGTGTGAGTGATGTGTAACACAGTCTTTAGAAATTATTTCTTCTTTATTGCCACATTCATATAAAAAGTTTGATATATTTGGGCTGATAAAAAGGAAGCCACACAGTGTATATAAAGAAAGTTGTAGGAAGTTAAAAAATATTTAGCTTTGGTATTTAGAAAAACAGTTGCCGACTGCTTCCTTGGTTTAATTATCCAGGTGATCAAAATTCTGGGTTTGAAACTCTTGGAAGTCCTCTGGGATAGTGTCTGCAAACAAGAACAGGCACCGGTGTTAATTGAGCTCCTTACCCCTGGAATCCCTGTGTCTCTGGTACTGTGCAGGCATCCTCCAGGGGGCACTATCAGCCTGCCCACAGCCTGCCTGCCCACAGCCTGCCTGCCCACAACCTGGTGCCCACAGCCTGCCTGCACAGCCATTTTCTGCTTCAGGTTGCTTTGTGAATTGTTGGCTTAAAGCCCAGGATTGCTCAATCATAGGCCTAAAGAAAATTAGCAGCAGAATGGATTTTGAATCTGCGATTATATTTGAGCCGTTTGAAAATAAAGGCTGCCTGTAAATTGAATCTGACTGAATTTCTCACTGAACCCCAAATCCTAAACCACGCAGTTAAAATTCAATGGGCCTCAATTTCCTCCTTTATCAAATAGGAAAAATGAAATATACCTTTTACTTCAGTTACACAAGGACTATCAAGTTTTGATAAATATGTGGCCTGAGCTTTGTGGAGGGAAGTATACTATAAACATAAAGTGATGATATTATATGATTAATTCTAGCAATAATACTGTGCAGTAAAATGAATGTACATTACCATTGCAGCGATACTTGAGATTGGACCAAATGATGTTTTCTTGGGAGAAACAGAACACGCCAAGCCGGCCTCCACGCATGGTGGTGTCTATGGTGACCCCAGAGTCAGCCACCAACTCGGAGCCTTCATAAAATCTCACCCTGCAGGAAACAGAGCCTGAATGGGTCTCTGTGAAACTCAAACCAAGGTCAGAGTGAAGTGCCATCATGAGACCCAGAGGTCCCTCTTCATTCTCACAGACCTGGACTGTGCATAGCTGTCAACCCTTCCCTAAGAGATCGGCAGCTCCATGAGGTCAGGGACCATGTGGCTGTGTCCTTCCATCATCTATCTCTCTGGAGGCCTAATACGATGTTGGGCACAGAAGCAGACTCGATGGGTACTTGCTGGCGAGTTAAAGAGAAATCAATACAACCCAGAAGCAAGTGGCTTTGTGACTCCATTGCCTGTGAGTTACCTGGTCTAGATATCTCATTTAAAAACAGCTGCTCTGCCTTAGGTCTGATACCTTTTGGTAGAGTCTCAGAGCAGTAATTCTCATCAGGAGTAACAGCCCGCCCTAAACAGGGTTTAAGAAACGTGTGGAGCATTGAAGCCAGGGTAGCTGGATGGCTTAAGGGCCTGGCGAGAACAGTCAAAACCTGTCCTGCATCCATACATTTTTGGAGTCTTCCTCCAGACATGTGGGTAGGGGAAGAGCCTCTTGGTTATCCGAGCCTAGAACTCCCTTTTATGTGTGAACACCAAGTATTTTTATGCTATTTTTATATAAACTGCATTTTCCAGGGTAAATTGAGAGCTGTCGAATACTTTATTTTGTTTGAAAATCAAGAGCTGTTCACTATTTTAGAAATTCACATCACTGTTGGCAATACCATTGTAGGATTTAAGTTATCAACACAACAATCTGTATTAAAATGTCACCTGCACAGTGCTTGTAGGTATAGGTGTCTCAGCATTGACATGATTTTGTTATAAGTTATTCTCATTTCTCTAATATGTGGCTAGGGATCAGATTGATTTTCTAAAATTATATGTGCAGGGAGGTTATATTTTCCATGATTTCATTTTGGGACAGAAGAAGGAATGTTTCAAATATTTGTTGTAAAAAGGGGACATTTACTTAATAGAGCTGAGGACATGATCATCTTACTGTGAGACAAATAGCACATTCAACATAATGTCTTGAAGAACAAAATATGAATTAGCCCTCATGACTTTGCTTCTTCTAGGCTGCTTTCCTGCCCTGGTTGGGAGGATGCACTCAGCACCCTTCCCTAAACGTAGCACATAAGCTGGCATGGGTTTGGATGGCAAGGATTTGCATGTTCATAGCAATGGGAATGTAAGTACACTAAGTTTCAAAGCCACCCTAGCTCCTGAGAGTAGTTTTTAAAGTAGTTCTGGGGGAAAATGAGGAGATTACATTGGCTCACATGAAGGTTGGTTCAGGCTGTGTGTGGCACATGCCGGGCCTTGTGCCCATTGCTGCCATCATGGAGTTTATGGTCCAGGAGGGCAGACAACTGGAAGGGGCACATGCAGTAGGGCATGAAATATTCACCATAAGTGATCATACAGGGCCCAGAGGAACCACAGCATGTGTGTCCACTTCAGGCTGCTCTGAGGAACATGGAGAAGGGGGATCACTGGCCCCAGTGCTGAGGCCTCCCCCCATCAGACAGTCCCACTGCCCCCAGTCTGGTCCTAATGTCCAGGAGGTCAGTTTGAGCCTGGGTGTCTTCCTCTCACCCCTTCCCAGGAGTGGGAGCCTGAGGTGTGCCCTCAGGGACACCCTGGGTCAAGGCTGCTCAGGGCAGTGAAGGCTCTGGATACAGAATGAGGGGGCGGGTGTGGGGCCCCCACCTACCTGATGTAGCCCACCTGGGGCCTATGCTGTAGGAACCAGCGGTAGGACACCTTGTCCTTCCAGCCCACATTCCTGGAGTCCTTCCACAGCAGCCGGACCTGGTCACTGGTGTCTCCCGTGTGCCACAAGGAGTTGCGGAGATGCTCTCCTGGGCCAGTCTTGGACTTCACAGCCTGGAAAATGACATGAGCATGGTTTTTGAAGGCACAGACACTCCTTCTGGGGTGGTAAATTCATGGTCACACTATGGCTGCCTTAGGTTTGGGTACTTAAATGCCATTTCTGCTGAGGTAACTCCCAACCCGTTAGTAATCACAGGTGAACAGTCCAGTAATCCATTCAGTATTTTTCCTGTTATAACCCTGTTCCCCACATTCATCTGCTGAGCGCTCTGAAGTTTGTCTTTTCTCCCAGCAGGAATGACAGGCAGCCTCGAAGCCCTCAGGTAAGTGCTGGCCCCGTCGAGGAAACAGATTAGCCAACAGAGAGTGGCTGGAGCAGTCCCTCCCAAGTCTTCCCACCTCTCGGGGCCTGCTCGGGCTGACGTTCTCACCATCAGAACCACCCAGAGGTTAGCATGTAGCTCGTGACTGAAAGCAAGGCCCACAGCAGGCTCTAGTTTTCTCTGACTTGAACACTAGAATGAATGCATCAATTTCTTAAGGGAACACAGATTTTAAAAGGAGGGAGATGGGCCCATTGAGTGATTTTAAACCATCACTACCTTAAGCTGAATGCCAGGTTCTGCAACAGCTCGGAACGGGGTGGCTTGCCAATACGTCTGCTCGGTCTGCTTCCACATGACCACATAGAAGCTGGAGCTATCTTGGTAACCAAAGATAAAGCCGGCATAGTCATCGTCCGTCTGGGTATTTACGTGGAAGGTCCCTTCAAAGTCAACTCCATTAAAAGCTGTGTATCCTGTAGAGGTCAGTAAGATTAGAAAAAGGCCACAGGACAAGCTGCCACACAAGTGTAACCGAGGCCCCGGACCTACCCACTGCCAGGCCAGGATCGCTGTTCATGGTCTGCACGATCTCCATGCCCTGCAGAGAGAGTTGAAGAGTGAAGAGCATTCTGAAAGGGGGTGCAGTAAGTGCAAGAAGCCCAGGGCCACAGGTGCCTTGGGTGAGGGGTCAGCAATGGCGACATCCACATAAAGATTGATCTGAGGAGCTGGTCTACCTTGGTATGTGCACAAAGCAGAATAGGAATCATTTTGCTAAAACTGTCAGTTAAGCTGACTCACTAAACCCTTAATTGAAGAATATACACTTGGAATGAATGTGACTAGCTGGGTGGTGCTGGAAATCTAATGTGGCCTGAGCTTTGTGGAGGGAAGTATACTATAAACATAAAGTGATGATATTATATGATTAATTCTAGCAATAATACTGTGCAGTAAAATGAATGTACATTACCATTGCAGCGATACTTGAGATTGGACCAAATGATGTTTTCTTGGGAGAAACAGAATACGCCAAGCCGGCCTCCACGCATGGTGGTGTCTATGGTGACCCCAGAGTCAGCCACCAACTCGGAGCCTTCATAAAATCTCACCCTGCAGGAAACAGAGCCTGAATGGGTCTCTGTGAAACTCAAACCAAGGTCAGAGTGAAGTGCCATCATGAGACCCAGAGGTCCCTCTTCATTCTCACAGACCTGGACTGTGCATAGCTGTCAACCCTTCCCTAAGAGATCGGCAGCTCCATGAGGTCAGGGACCATGTGGCTGTGTCCTTCCATCATCTATCTCTCTGGAGGCCTAATACGATGTTGGGCACAGAAGCAGACTCGATGGGTACTTGCTGGCGAGTTAAAGAGAAATCAATACAACCCAGAAGCAAGTGGCTTTGTGACTCCATTGCCTGTGAGTTACCTGGTCTAGATATCTCATTTAAAAACAGCTGCTCTGCCTTAGGTCTGATACCTTTTGGTAGAGTCTCAGAGCAGTAATTCTCATCAGGAGTAACAGCCCGCCCTAAACAGGGTTTAAGAAACGTGTGGAGCATTGAAGCCAGGGTAGCTGGATGGCTTAAGGGCCTGGCGAGAACAGTCAAAACCTGTCCTGCATCCATACATTTTTGGAGTCTTCCTCCAGACATGTGGGTAGGGGAAGAGCCTCTTGGTTATCCGAGCCTAGAACTCCCTTTTATGTGTGAACACCAAGTATTTTTATGCTATTTTTATATAAACTGCATTTTCCAGGGTAAATTGAGAGCTGTCGAATACTTTATTTTGTTTGAAAATCAAGAGCTGTTCACTATTTTAGAAATTCACATCACTGTTGGCAATACCATTGTAGGATTTAAGTTATCAACACAACAATCTGTATTAAAATGTCACCTGCACAGTGCTTGTAGGTATAGGTGTCTCAGCATTGACATGATTTTGTTATAAGTTATTCTCATTTCTCTAATATGTGGCTAGGGATCAGATTGATTTTCTAAAATTATATGTGCAGGGAGGTTATATTTTCCATGATTTCATTTTGGGACAGAAGAAGGAATGTTTCAAATATTTGTTGTAAAAAGGGGACATTTACTTAATAGAGCTGAGGACATGATCATCTTACTGTGAGACAAATAGCACATTCAACATAATGTCTTGAAGAACAAAATATGAATTAGCCCTCATGACTTTGCTTCTTCTAGGCTGCTTTCCTGCCCTGGTTGGGAGGATGCACTCAGCACCCTTCCCTAAACGTAGCACATAAGCTGGCATGGGTTTGGATGGCAAGGATTTGCATGTTCATAGCAATGGGAATGTAAGTACACTAAGTTTCAAAGCCACCCTAGCTCCTGAGAGTAGTTTTTAAAGTAGTTCTGGGGGAAAATGAGGAGATTACATTGGCTCACATGAAGGTTGGTTCAGGCTGTGTGTGGCACATGCCGGGCCTTGTGCCCATTGCTGCCATCATGGAGTTTATGGTCCAGGAGGGCAGACAACTGGAAGGGGCACATGCAGTAGGGCATGAAATATTCACCATAAGTGATCATACAGGGCCCAGAGGAACCACAGCATGTGTGTCCACTTCAGGCTGCTCTGAGGAACATGGAGAAGGGGGATCACTGGCCCCAGTGCTGAGGCCTCCCCCCATCAGACAGTCCCGCTGCCCCCAGTCTGGTCCTAATGTCCAGGAGGTCAGTTTGAGCCTGGGTGTCTTCCTCTCACCCCTTCCCAGGAGTGGGAGCCTGAGGTGTGCCCTCAGGGACACCCTGGGTCAAGGCTGCTCAGGGCAGTGAAGGCTCTGGATACAGAATGAGGGGGCGGGTGTGGGGCCCCCACCTACCTGATGTAGCCCACCTGGGGCCTATGCTGTAGGAACCAGCGGTAGGACACCTTGTCCTTCCAGCCCACATTCCTGGAGTCCTTCCACAGCAGCCGGACCTGGTCACTGGTGTCTCCCGTGTGCCACAAGGAGTTGCGGAGATGCTCTCCTGGGCCAGTCTTGGACTTCACAGCCTGGAAAATGACATGAGCATGGTTTTTGAAGGCACAGACACTCCTTCTGGGGTGGTAAATTCATGGTCACACTATGGCTGCCTTAGGTTTGGGTACTTAAATGCCATTTCTGCTGAGGTAACTCCCAACCCGTTAGTAATCACAGGTGAACAGTCCAGTAATCCATTCAGTATTTTTCCTGTTATAACCCTGTTCCCCACATTCATCTGCTGAGCGCTCTGAAGTTTGCCTTTTCTCCCAGCAGGAATGACAGGCAGCCTCGAAGCCCTCAGGTAAGTGCTGGCCCCGTCGAGGAAACAGATTAGCCAACAGAGAGTGGCTGGAGCAGTCCCTCCCAAGTCTTCCCACCTCTCGGGGCCTGCTCGGGCTGACGTTCTCACCATCAGAACCACCCAGAGGTTAGCATGTAGCTCGTGACTGAAAGCAAGGCCCACAGCAGGCTCTAGTTTTCTCTGACTTGAACACTAGAATGAATGCATCAATTTCTTAAGGGAACACAGATTTTAAAAGGAGGGAGATGGGCCCATTGAGTGATTTTAAACCATCACTACCTTAAGCTGAATGCCAGGTTCTGCAACAGCTCGGAACGGGGTGGCTTGCCAATACGTCTGCTCGGTCTGCTTCCACATGACCACATAGAAGCTGGAGCTATCTTGGTAACCAAAGATAAAGCCGGCATAGTCATCGTCCGTCTGGGTATTTACGTGGAAGGTCCCTTCAAAGTCAACTCCATTAAAAGCTGTGTATCCTGTAGAGGTCAGTAAGATTAGAAAAAGGCCACAGGACGAGCTGCCACACAAGTGTAACCGAGGCCCCGGACCTACCCACTGCCAGGCCAGGATCGCTGTTCATGGTCTGCACGATCTCCATGCCCTGCAGAGAGAGTTGAAGAGTGAAGAGCATTCTGAAAGGGGGTGCAGTAAGTGCAAGAAGCCCAGGGCCACAGGTGCCTTGGGTGAGGGGTCAGCAATGGCGACATCCACATAAAGATTGATCTGAGGAGCTGGTCTACCTTGGTATGTGCACAAAGCAGAATAGGAATCATTTTGCTAAAACTGTCAGTTAAGCTGACTCACTAAACCCTTAATTGAAGAATATACACTTGGAATGAATGTGACTAGCTGGGTGGTGCTGGAAATCTAAGCCTCTCTGTGCCTTCCTCTGTTCCACGATGAGGAGGACACGCGGGAGGCAGCCTGTTGCAGAGATGAGGGCTGTGGCTCTAGAGTCAGGCTGGGTCCCACTTCTAGCCGTCTCAGCCACCTTTCTGCAGCGCTATCAGGAGCAATCAGTACAGCTTTATGAGACTCGATCTCATCATCTGTAAAGAGGGGCTAAAAAACGTGAAGGGAACAGTGCCTGCTGAGAGTCAGTGCCCTCTCACTGTTACTGTCAGAACAGCTGGTGCTGAGAGGTGAAGCTGGTGCCAGTCCTGCGACACTCACCTGGTTCAACACTACCCAGTTGGGGTCTATCTGGGCATCCCCTTCAGGGTCCAGGACCACTGTCTGGTAGGCCCTGAAGTCGGTCAGGGTGACCTCTGCGTTCTCTGGGCAGACGTCAATCCGATCAATGACCTGGTCCTGGTCAAAGTCCGTCTCGCAGATGTCTCCCACGCCGTCGCCTGAATGAAGAGAGGTTGAGGGGCTTGACAGCGTGTACACCAGCCCTGCTCCTTGACGTAGAAGGGGCTGGGCAAGGAGGAGAGGGCCCCAGCTCCGGGGCTGTGGTTTCCAGCCCACGCTGGGAGAGGAGCCCTGGATCCAGTCAGCTCTGAGCCGGCCCCACCCTGGAGTCCTAACAAGGTGTGATCCAAAAACCTTGCTGGGGACAGAGTGGAGGGCAGCTGTTCAAAACTGACCTTACAAGAAACCCTGGTTGTCCTCTGAGTGGGGGTCATCAACTGGTGGATCCTAAGCCTGACTTTATACAAACAAATATCTATTGCATTTCCTGGACCATAACACACAGAAAGCAGGGAAATGTTTATCATTTGAATCGCTCTTAAGACCATAACTTCTGGCGATCCTTAGGCTGACTCTGGCTCACAGGGTGTTCTGGTCAGCTGACGTGATGCTACTTAAACGTGTGAATCTGTGCGGCTGTGGATGGCCATGTCTTCGCCAGCCCACCGCAGTCCTTGCTACTCTGCCAGATCATTTCTGGCTTATCTGCTTGGCTCCAGCAGTCACCTGAGTTTGTGAACCCCACCTCAGCCATCTGCTGCTGTGCCCTCCTCTCCGTCCTGCTCCTTTTTTGTACTTCCTGGGACAGGGGCCAACACGATGACTGAGCAACTCTCCATGTCTCTAGAGCGGGAGCACGTGGCCGCTTCCCTGCCCCGTGTGAGCTCATCCCAGGGCTGCTCAGAAGCTGCAAAGCAGGTTTTTTCTGACAAGAGTCAGAGATTGGCATCTACCAGGAGTCTGCTGTCCACATAGGCTGTGGCCATGCAGAGAAGCCGGGCCCTGGACACCTGGGGGAGGTGGGCCACCACATGCCTGGCCTATGGGAGCTGGGGGTTGCCTGCAGCTCTGGGCTGAGCCGGCTTACTGTTGCTATCCTCCTGGGTCGGATTGGGAACCAGACGGCAGTTGTCTGGCCCAGGGGGCACCAGGTCCGGGATACCATCATTGTCATCGTCATCGTCACACTCGTCACCAATTCCATCCTTATCAGTGTCCAGCTGGGCACTGTTGATAACGGTGGGGCAGTTGTCTGTACTGTCCTGGTGCCCATCTCCGTCACTGGGGAAGAAGGAGAGATGGTTTGTGTAACAGTTCAGCAGAGGGCAGGATGAGTGCAGTTCTCAGGAGGGAAAGTTGGGTTTGGGGTTTTAACTCTGCTCGGTTTTTAACAAACTTCTGTGGGCAGCAGGGACCATTTTCTCACTTTCTCAACTTGTTGAAATAAGATCACTTCTACTCAAGAAGATAAGGGTTGATTTTTGTGAGCGGATGTTCCTGTCAGTCCCTGAGGACTACTAGATGACCCCTGACTGAATGTGCAGAGGAACAAGGTGAGGGGCTGCGGGGCAGGTGGCTCAGCCACTCACAGGCAGGTGACCCCTCTGTGACCCAGTGTCCTCATCTATAAAATGGGAATAACAAAGCCTACATCATAGAGTTGTTATGAATATTAAGTGATTAGAATTTTACATATTAAATTTTAATATATTGAAAAGTCCTTCTAGGTGCCTGCCTCTTAGGAAGCTCTACAATGTCTTCTTTCCTTTTACTCTTCACAATCCTTAGCCAGGAGACCAAAGAAGCATGAGATGCAAATGCCACAGGGAGAATGGCAAAGAGAACGGTGTCACCCTTTCCAAGGGGTGAGCATGAAGGCTGGGCTCAGTCCTGCTAAAGAGAAGGCTCATTTTCTGCCTATCTGACTTTTCTTCCAGGCCTAAAGGCCACCTGATGAAGAGTCTTTCCTGTCCCCAGAGGCTCCCCGAGTTGATAGAGACCTCCCATGGCTACTCTGGATCAGCACAGAACTCTGTTCTCCTGGCACCACGCATGGCCTCTCCCATACTGGGAGCTGCTACACGGCTAGGATGGGACAGGGTGGGAAGCCAAGCAACAGTCCCTGCACGCTTTCTGGATGGGTCCCAGAGAAAGTGAGGCCTACCTGGACAAGCAGAAGATGGCGTGATTCAAACAGTAGAATTCCTATGCATATAGCACGGCTGCTTTTTAAATCTTAAGATTGACCTATTTCCATTAGCAGCCATTCTATATAGCCCTGAACATTTTTACACAAAAACAAGCAGTTCCTGCCTTCCTCTCCGAGATTCAAGTTTGTGGAAATTAAAATGCAGTAGAATGAGTTATTTATTTTAAGGCAATATCTAGAGGCTGGTGGGACATTTTAGAAACTACTTGGCAATCAGAGTGCAGGATGACCTGCAACAGGAAGCCCTGCTGACAGGCACCATTTAGGGAAGCTGCCAGGGGACCAGTCCCACGTTCCACCCAGAAACAGAGATAGTCTAGGTCAGACATTGTTGCTGACTTGTCTCCTGTGCTGTGCGAACAATAACAACATAGCCACCATTTTCTGTGGGTCACCTGAAGGTCAGCACCATTTTCTGTGGGTCACCTGAAGGTCAGCACTGTGCTGGGAGCTTTACCTACATTATCTTTGATTTTCACCATCACCTGCAAGATGCATTTAATTATCTCTGTTTTGTAGATGAAGGAATTGAGACTCAGAGATTGAGAAGTACATTTAAGTTCACTTAGCTAGGATGCATTTTGCAGCAAGGACACTGAGCACAAGGACAAAGACTGGACTCCATAGGAACTGTCCTTGAACAAGGTTTGGCCAGAGAGCCGCTGTTGGCAGGGCAGTCCCTGGGAAGAGGTTGAGAAAGGAAGCTACATTTATTCTTGCTTTGTCTTTTAGAATCCCCTCCTTCTCTCATCCTTGTCCCTGTCCTGTCTCTATAAGGGTTCCCTGTGCAGATGAAGGGTCTTAGCACCTTGGACTGCAGCTGCCCCCAGGGCAGAGCTGCATATGTGTGGTTTTCGTGAGGCTCATATGGCATCTGATACAGTCCTGTGTCTTACTGTAGGACTCCATCCATGTGGGGTAGGAGGATTGGCAAAATTCATTTGCATAGAACAATTCCACTCAAGGGAAACAATGAAAAAGTTCTAAGGACAATGAAATAGCAGTGATCTCTCAGCAAACTGATAGCTTTCTATTTTGGGAGGATGGTGAAGTTTCTTGAGCCAAAATAATGTAATACTAAAAGAGCTGATATCTATTGAGTACTATCTATGAAACAGAAACTATAATATGTACTTTTCATAATGAATTCAATTAACAGTCACAACAGTTCTATGAGCTACATTCCATTGTCACCCCCATTTTACAGATGAGAAAATTGAGATGCAGGTGATTTGCCAAAGTTTAGATGGTTTGTAAGTGAAGGAGCTGGGGTTTATACCTTACTAGAGTACCTAGTGGCCCCTCCTGATATTACCACCTCCTATACAAAACTCTCAGGCAGGTGTGGTGACCCTGACCAGAGGCAGGGCTGTTGTCCCACCAGCAACTCAATTTATTTGGTGAGATCCCAAAACATGGTAGAAGCAGAAAGCTTTGAAAGATACAAAGCTCTCTGGAGTTTTCACCTGGGTCTATGCAGATGGGAGATAGGCCATACCTGTCCTGATTGGTGTCACAGGAGTCCCCAACCAGATCGTTGTCCACATCAGACTGCGAAGAGAACACAACATGTTATTTATCCCTAGGCTTGCACGCACAGAATGTTCCAGAGAAGGCAGACCTGGTCCATCGTCACTGGCTCTCAGGAATTATTTCTCTGGAATTGGGGTGGTGCAAAACTGCAAAAGGACAATGCCATATTGGTGTAGGCACAAAGCTGAATTTTCAAAAAAGCCTTCCAAAATATCAAGCTACATGGATGAGCCGCCTACACACCAGATGAGCTGATTGGAAAGGGCGCTGGGGCAGCATGGTGACAGGTGGAGATGTGGAACTCGGGCACGGGTCGGAAGGGAGCCAGCCGCAGGCGTGGGGATGAGGCAAACTGATTTCGCTCTGCTTCTGCATTTTGGAATTGAGCCACAGTGGGAGTGAGTCACAGAGGGCAACAATGACTCCCCTCTCTCAGGGCTTTAAAAATACATGACACATCATGCCCAATGATCCAGACAGGAAGGGGGAGTGAGAAGGCAAGCAGCACGTTGCCAACTGAACTTAATCAGAGACATCCATACATAGGCCATGTAGGGATTTGGGGACTAACAGGACATGAGGCTCCCGATGGTTAATTTCCATGTCACCTTTTCTTTTTAACAAAAAAACTTGTTTTGGGCATCATTAAATTCATATTATTAACCTCATAGGCACGTGACAGCCTGTGAGATTAGTCCAGAGGGCCTCAGATCTCTGTGTTTTTCCTGTCACCTCCAGGCCTAATGTGCTGTTTGCCACCTCTGCTCTGTTAGGTCCATGGGGATGGTACAGAACCAAGCCGGTGGGCTCTGCTGCCTTCTTCCAGACACTGGTCTTAAATGAGTCTTTGCACAGGGGAGTTCAGCCCAGAATTTGAATTGCCCTCTATCCCACTAACCTGATTTGGGTTGCTGACATCAGGACAACTGTCACAGGCATCCCCCACGCCATCGCCATCCTTGTCCTGTTGGTTACGATTGGAAACTTTTGGGCAGTTGTCCAGAATGTTTTTTATTCCTACATGAGACAGGAATGCTTCCATGAGTCAGTGAATATCACAGGTCAGGGACACTTCTCTGTGTGTAGGTGCTGTAGCTACCAGGCCTACACACAGTGACTTCTGCCCAGACCAGCCTCAGAGACCATGACCTTTTCAATAGTTATCTGGAGAGAATATCAAAGGATGGCTTCTGGGCAACTTAAAAATGAATGGTGATCTAAGGCATTTATCCACAAAGTTATAATTTGCTCAAGATATCAAGGGCTATCGCTGCAATGAGGAGGGCATGAAGGAGAGTGGGTGGGCTGACCCTCGAGAGGGAGGACCTTGTGCGTGTGAGCTTGGGAACCAAGGACTTGGACAGTGGGGTGCTGGAGCCAGGCCACCGTGCCCTCTCCCAGCTGCCTGTTTAGTCATGTCCTCTCCTGTTGGCAGCTGGAAGTCAGTGGTGGTGAGAGTGGTATTCACACCATATAAGTTGGCAAATGTTGCAACTTGGGGATTTGTTTTGTTTTGTTTTGCTGACCTGCCTGACCTGCACACCACTGGATCTGGGTCATCAGACCAGCTTGTGGAAGGTGAGCTCATGTTTTGGGGAGGTATGACTATCCTGGAGTGGAATATTTGTGTTGTGTATTGGGGTGTTGTGTATTGTGTATTGGGGTGAATGTATTTCTAAAAGGATTTTCCTTCAAGGCTCTGTGACATGATATGTTTTTCAGAAACCATCAGGTCTTACCTATTCTTTGATGACAGTCACCCAAATGTTGTGGAAGCTACACAGGGACACATGTCCTTCCTTAAGTCCTGTGAGCCTCAAGGGCTATACAATAGGGGGTGCCATTCACAGAGACCACACACAGTGTACAGGTCCTTCAGGGGACCCGGAGCTGGGCACTGCAGCTGCCCTGCCTCCACAGCTCTTTCCAGAACTGGCAGGGATGTCCCTGTCTCCTGGAAGATTCCTGATTCTCTGTGGGAAGAGCCTGACTCAGGGGCTAATGCCTGTGACCCTGCTCATGGCCCTCTCTTTCAGTTCTCCACTTCTGGGATTGTCATGTATGAAAAGGATGGTTGGAGTCGTGGAAGGTATAATCTGGAAGACAGATGTCCCATAGAGACACAGTCCTGACAAGACACTGCTTGAGGAAATTCCTGCAAAGTTTCTGGCAATGGCATAGAGTTCAGAAACACATGGGGTTAAGTAGGGCAATGGGCTGCAGAGTCTCCTTCCACAGAAACAAGTGGCCCCTGGGCACCCTCGGTGCAGGCTGTCCATGTCAGTAATTCTATTCCTGCTTCTTACAGAGAACAAGGCAAAAGGGCAAATGAGCCCCCAACAAAGGACAAAGCAAGACAGACCCACCATCTCCATCCATGTCATCATCACAGGCATCTCCTTTTCCATCCCCATCAGTGTCTTTCTGGTCATTATTTAGGACATTCCGGCAGTTATCACAGGCATCCCCAAAGATATCTCTGTCACTGTTCCGTTGGTCCACGTTGTGCGTCAGGACACAGTTATCCTAGAGGGTCAAAAGGTCCATCATTTGCTCAGCCCTCTGCAGAGCTCTGCCATGGCCTGTCCCGTGGTGGGTGCCGGCCACCTCCACCCCTGCTGTCATGAGCTGTCAGAACTTGGGAGGCCCACGTTTGTCAGTTTTATATTTTAAACATTTGAGAATCTTAGAATAGGAAGTTGCAGTCCTCGGGGAATGGAGGCACGGACACTAACATTTGGGATGATGATTATGAACGGCCTCACTGGTTTTCTCCCACTATCCCGGGCATGCAGCAGTTCACAGGCCCCTCCAGCACAGCAGGCACCTGCTCATTCAGGATCCCGTCTCCATCAGCATCCTCATCACAAGCATCTCCAACGCCATCTCTGTCTGCATCTTCTTGGCCAGAATTTGGCACATACTTGCAGTTGTCCTAAGGGAGGAAACACAGCTCAGAGGGACAGCTACATCTGACATTGGTCTTTTCCTTCTTTTTTTTTTGCTTTATTGAGGTATAATTGACAATGTCCTAAGACATTTAAAGTGTATATCATGGTGATTTGATATATGTATATATTGTGGAAGGATTTCCTCACATTGCGTCAACATATCAGCTACCTCACATATTTGTTCCCTTGCTTTTTTGGTAAGAACATTTAATTTCTACTCTTCTTAAGAAATTCCAGTTACACAAACAGTGTTATCAACTGTACTCAATAAGTTAGACATTAGATCCTCGGACCTTATTCTTCTTATAACTGAAAGATTACACCCTTTTATCAACTTCTCCTTATATCCCCCACCCTCATCTACATCTGTCCCAAGTCAAAAACTGTTTCTGACCTCAGACTGACTGGCTGTCTGGCTTTATTGTTGATGGCTGTTTTGCCACATTTGAGATGTAGCTGCTTTCAAAATGCAACTTTAAATGGAGCCCGAGGATGTCTCCCCCATATAAGAGTGTGGCTTTGGGAGGAAGGCCACCTGCTTGTCCTCCTTACCTTCTTACAGTTCCTGGCAGAGCATGGCAGTTCTTCGTCAGGGTAACTGTCAATGTCCACATCCTTTCCACAGATGTAGCCATCACCAGCCCAGCCAACTCCACACTGTGAAGGGAAAGCCAGTCAGAGGTTGGGAAGCTGAGCCTGGTGGGAGGCTGGGGCTGACAAGAGCCTCTGCTCCCCTGTGCCCATTCCCAGTGAGGGGTCAGAACCAGTGAGCCTTGTTGGGTAGGATTTTTAAGACTGTTAGATTGGTTTTTGATTAGTCTAATGGTTCAAAATTCAAAAAGTACAAAGGACGATGGAGTGAAATCTCCTTCCCTCTCCCATTCCCGTGGATGGCAATCACAGTGATTTGTTCTTCCACATACTTTCAGTGTTACTCTGCCTGGAGAGCAAACACCCACACATTCTTGATCCCTTTTTGTCCTTTAATACAATTGGTAGCACACAGATACCTTGAAGTCTTAAAATTAACATTATATATTGACATTCTTTCCATACCAGTCCAGGAGGATTCATGTCATTCTTCTTAATGGCCACACACATACATCAGGTGGGATTCATGTGCCTCAGTGAATTCACCCAGTCCTCTATCTGTGGGTATCGGGTTTTTAAAATCTTTTTCTACTGCAAACCATGCTGTAACAGATAATTCCAGTCCCTTTGTCACTTTGCACATATACTAGAGTCTTAGTGTGGAATTCCTGGCTCAGTTGGTACTTGTAATTTTGAGTTAACTGTCCAAACGTTCTCCATATGATTGTCCAATTTCTTCCCTCAGTGGAGAGGAATACATTAATGGCAGGAGTGGCATCTGTGGCACCTCCTTATCATTCTTGAACTCAGTCACATCTCTGAATCTAACCGTCATCTAGATTGATTTCCACCACGGGAAGAACCATCCAAGGTGCTGTACCTCTATTCATAGCCTTTCCCTTTAAGAGAAGAGGGTCCCCACAAGTGCAGTCCTGGGCTGCATGCTCTCTCCTTCCCTGGAGAAGTCCACCCAAGCAGCCCAGACCAGCAGCTGTGCGAGCAAGCCTTCATCATCAGAACAGGCACCAAAGCCGCTGCTACCCTGTGCCAGGCTCTGTCACCATTTCATCCAGTGGTCACAGTGATGTGGCAAGGTCATTGTTATCCCACTTTCCAAAAGAGCCAGTGAAGGCTCAGAGTGGTTAAGCCCCTTGCTCAAGGTCTCAGAGCTGGGACTCAAACTCAAGCCTGCCCCAGTCCAAAGTCTTCTGCCGTTTATATTTGGTTAACATGCACTTGGAGTTCTTCTCTGATATTCTGTATCCTAGCTGACCTCTCTAGAGGATGACTGACAAACTGAAGAGAAAGGAAGTCAATCCATAAGTGGGGTCTTGGATAAGAGGCAGTAACTGGGAGTTCAGCCCAGGAGCAGGGTGGGTGCCTACGGGAGGGGCAGGCAGAACAGCAGAAGGAGAGAGGGGCCTGGAGCAGGACGCAGACCAGAAAGGCGTGAAGAGGGGCAGAGTCTGAGGAACGGAGTCAGGGCCAAGCGAAAAGAAACTTCGCCTGTGTGACTGTTGTTTCCTGGCCTTGCTACTCAACATAAGGTGACTTCCTCAGGTGTGGGCTGCCTGTTCTCTCATCTACACTCCCCTGTAACCGGAGATTCAGGAAGCAGGACTCAACCCCCTGGGACTACCCCTGTTTCTGCTCAGTTGCTTCCGCAGGGCTTTCAGAAGGCCTGGAAAGCTCAGCCACAGGGTATGGGCCTTGACTCATTTTCATGAAGAAAAAATTTCCTCTAGGAACAAATACATTTTTAATGAGCCATTTTCTGGCAGATTAAATTATTTTGGTAGTCACACCAAGTGTATTAATCCCTTACCATCTGTCATTGTGCCTTATTACAAATTCAGAAACATATTAAGAGCCCCATCACCCATCATCCCAGGGACATTGTTAATTTGTTCACAGAAAATGAGGATTTAAACACAGGTATATGCTTGCTTCTCAAAAGTAATAAACATGCCCAGCCTTCAGGAATTAAAGAAGCTATTGGCTTTCACCCCTCTGACCCTGCTTGCTCCCTCCATCAGGACCTTATTACAGACTACCTATCTGCGTTGCTGGGGAGAACTGACATCCTTACATTTACTTCTTTCGCTTAGTTTTGATTCTTCTCATTTTTCCTATTTGAAAAATGATACACTCAGTGTAGAAAATTTTGCGAACATAAAGAGGTCTGATCTTGAGGAAGAGGGACAAAGTCTCCCAGAATCTCCCCTGCTGCCCAGAGGTAATCACCAGGAACCTGTGCATCTCAGGCCCTAAAGGGCCATGGCCTGCGAGGGCCTGGCTCACTGGGGAGGAGGGAAGTGAGCAGCTGAAAATGGCTCAAGCCCTGTGCCTAGAGTCTCTGAGGACTCTGGTGTCCGGGATCTGGGAATGCACCGCAGGAACGAGCCTCTGTCTTCACCAAAGCCCAGTATGCACCACCTGGTGTGAAACCCACGTCAGGCCTCCACGGCCCTGCTTTCTTCTCAGCCTCCTCCTCCCCGGATCGGCTCCAGGGTTGGGACATGCACAGGAGAAAGAGTGGCCATCCACTGGGCTATGCTGGAATCAGGGTGGAGGTGGACATGAATGGTGCCCTCTGACCCTCTCACTCGTGGGAGACAAGACACTTCCCTCTGAGGGTTTACAACAGTCCACTACCTCTCCACTGTGACCCACCTCCTGGAATATTAGGCCAGATTTTGAAACTGGATGTCATAAGAGTAAGGACAGTTAGAAATGACAGCAGTATGCTAATAAGTTATAGAAACAAGTAGTGAGGGCAGTAGACGGAAGGGAAGGCACAGCCTGCTGCTCACTTCTTGGACCTCCAGCAGAGGGCGCCTGGGAGCTGTAGCTCACCTGGGCTCCACCCCGGAGGGGCCCAAGGGAATGATGACAACCCAGGGCCAAGAGGGAGGGAAAAGGCAGCTGATGGTTAGACAGACTTCAGATTGCTCCCTCCAAATTACATTCGGGACTTGTTACTATTACATTCTATGTTCATCTTGACTGAAATGTTTTCATTTTTGAGTATGTTTGCCCTCAAACAAGTGGAAATGGGAGAGGGGTGGTGTTTAAAAGAGGAAGAAATGATAAAACAGGTAACCTTACCACGCATGTCACGTCCCCCTGCCTCTCTTGCGTGCACTGTGCATTCACACTGCATGGATTCAGTTCTGGATTTCTGCAGTTTCTTTCGGTTTTGCATCCCCTTGTCTGGTCACCAGTATACCCTGGTTTACAAGGCCCACAGCGATAAGACCCCTGCAAGAGGTAAACATGAGATGATGAGCCAGGGGCTCAGAGCTGTGAGCAATGGTATTGTGATTATATTATTTTTATATGTGTCCCATGATGCCAGGATTAAGTGAGACCTATGCCTGCGTCTCTGGTTATACGTATGTCTTAAAAGATCAAATGAATATTGGGGAAGACACCACCAGATTGGAAGCACAGCAGGCTACACAGACAAGAGGGTGTAGAACTGAAGGTGGAAGAGGGCTACATAGTGTCCAACTTGACTCTGACTTGCCAGCTTCACTGTGGTGGGCAAAAGGGAAAGGACTGAATGTTCCAATGAAGTCCCGGGAGGTGGAGTGAGAGAATTCACTCTGGGGACAAAGGGAGATGGTTTGATTAAAAAGCAAGTTCTAAAAAAAATTTTTTTAAACTTCCTTTGGCTTTTTTACAAGTGATAAGGAACAGGCATACAGAAAAATGTTGGTGGCTTTGCACTGGAAATTCTCGATGAGGTAGGCTGCAGTGGAAGAAACCTGGCAACGAGCTGTCAGCTCCATTGCAATGGCACTTCTAGAGCTGCTCATGTCTTTTTTAAAAACAGCTTTATTGAGATAAAATGTGCACATCACGAAAGACACCCATGTAAACTGTACAACTCAGTGCTCTTAGTCACTAACACCCCCGGAATGGCCATATCCAGATGCTGCTCTTCACTGTTCTCTCTCCCCCTATCAGCCTCAGTGGACTGTGCCATTTGGTCAGTTCTCTGTTTTTCTTTGATTCTGCTCTTTTTCTTTCTCTACTTCTTCATTTTTGAGGTTTTCTGAAGTTCTACCTTCTTTTCTTTCTCCTTGGTGGCTTTAGTTATTACCTTTATGCCAATGTCTCCCAAGTCTGTTTCTGCAGACTAGCCTTCTCCTGGTACAAACCTGAGAAGCAATAAATCCCTGGGTATCCCAAGGCAGTGGGTAAGAGCAGAGGGTCGGCAGCCAGACTGGGAGTCTTATGAGATGCGTGACCTTAACCTAATTTTTTCTGTGCCTCAGTTCCTTCAGCTGTAAGTGCAGCATAAAATAGTGCCTATTGACAGGGTCGTTGTGAGGATTAACGTAAGTGACTTGATATTTATAAAATGTTTTGCATACAAGGAAACTAGGTACCGAGTGATTGAATAACTTTCCCTGGGATGTGGAGTAAATTAGGAGCAGCCATACATGGAATCAGTAGTCCTTGCATTGACATTCTCCTGGTCTGCCCCTATCATCTTGGAAGCAGTTGATAGAAACTTTCAGAAATAAAACCTGTATTTGAATATTTGAATTTTAGATGCCCACCCCCCCAGTGCTAAGCAT